AAATATAAAGAATTAGAAGGCTGTCTCTGAAAAAGAACATCCTATGAAATGTACACAGCCTAAGTAGGTAAGAAACCATGTTATAATGGGAGCCATCTCAGGCCTTACTTTTCTAAATGCCATGGTTCTAGAGAAAAATTAGCCAAACAGACTATAAAAACAGAAGAGACACTCCAAAAGTAGACCCGCACATATAGGAATACAAATTTTGCTGTGTAGCATGTCAAATCTATGAAGAAAAGGTATCTGCATCTTTTTTTCTTTCATTTTTCCTGTTTTATTTTTAGAGACAGGATCTTGTGCTGTCACCCAGGCTGGAGTACAGTGACAGATCATCACTCACTGCAGCCTCAAACTCCTGGGATCAATTTTCCTACCTAGGCCTCCAATGTAGCTGGGACTACAGAGGTTTGCTACCACACCCAGCTATTTTTTTTTTTTTTTTTTGAGATGGAGTCTCACTCTGTAGTTCAGGCTGGAGTGCAATGGTGTGATCTTGGCTCACTGCCACCTCCACCTCTGAGGTCCTGGTTCAAGCAATTCTCCTACCTCAGCCTCCCAAGTAGCTAGGCATGAGCCACCATGCCCAGCTAAATTTTGTATTTTTTAGTAGAGATGGGGTTTCACCATGTTGGCCAGTCTCTTCTTCAACTTCTGACCTCATGATCTGCCTGCCTCTGCCTCCCAAAGTACTCAGATTTCAGAGATGTGGGTCTCACTATGTTGCCCAGGCAGGTCTTGAACTCCTGGGCTCAAGTGATCCTCCTGCCTCAGCATTTTCAAGTGCTGGGATTACAGGCATGAGCCACATCAACTGGCCTGTGTCATTTTTTCTCAGAATCTCTCAATAGGTTGTCTCAGGACAAGTGATTTAAACTTTACTCTGATTAAATGTGGTCCAGTCAACTGGCTACTTTATGATTATCATCAAAGCAGGCACGGGCCATTTGAGAAAGAAAGTTTGGTTGGTACTAAGAACCCACAGTGACATGTTTGCCTATGCATTTCTATGTATTCCACATGTTATTTCCAAAGGAGCCTATTGAATTCTGGATTCTGTTGTGAGGCATATGAACACAAATCCAATATTTAGAAAGAAGAAAGTCAGGCAGGATGGCACGGTCGGAAGCATCCCACCTGCTCCTCAGCATCACAGAGCTCTCACTCCACTGGAAGCACCTGGATGAAATCCAGGCTCTGGGGGAAGTACAGGGCGTGGCAGATCTTTCTCACCTGTGAATTCCTGATGGGGAATGGCATGAGGTGGATTGTCAGGGTCTGAGGCAAATGGGTCAGCTTCAAGACCTGAAAAAGCAAAATCACTCTGGATATAAAGTCCACTTGGAATGGGAGTAAACGAAATGTCTGGACTAATGGTACCCTCTTCCAAAAAAAGAGGGAAGCAGGGTGACATCACAGAGTTCAAGGCTCTCGTTCACTGAATCTGCTGAGCTACTCTGAGAATAATGCGAAATGTGGGTATTCTACCACCACCGGGTCCCCACAAGAGGCACAAGGGCACAGGGCTCTGCACAGGCACCAGGACCCAGTCTGCTCCAAGGAGCTCAGCTCACCCAAAGGGAAATGCCCTGCTGGCTGCTCTCAGGCCTTCTCCTCTGGTCCCTCTCAGTTATGTGACCTGAGAAGCCACATCCATGGCTCTAGAGATCAGAACTCCACGATCCCAGATCCTAGCCAGACCCAGATTCCCATTCTCACCCACCACAAAGTCCCCTCGGGGCCTCTGATGATTCTATCAGGAAATCCACAAAAGGAAACCCCAGACTAGTGAAGGACAGTTGATCCCTGAACAGCACAGGTTTGGACTGTGTGGGTCCACTTAATACACAAATTGTTTTAAATAAATACAGTCTTCCCTCCGCCATAAGCATGAGTTCCACATCTGCAACCAAACACTCATTAAAAATACAGTATCCCAGATGCACAACCGCATAGATGAGGGACGGACTTTTCCTATATGTGGGTTCTGCAGGGCCGACTGGGGACTTGAGTATGTGCAGATTTTAGTAAATTCAGGGAACCAATCCCCTGTGTGCACCGAGGGACAGCTGAGTCCAGTTTAGGGAATGAGTACCTGTTTCCCATGTGTCTTCTTCCTGCAGTTCTCACAGAAGCACTTACTTTTGCTTGAAAACTCCCTGGGCTGGAAGAAGCAGTGCAGGGCGTCCTCCTGCCCCACCCAAGAGAAAAGGGAAAAGGCACCATTGGCATTTCCCACCTAGAGTACTGTATTCATCTGTTCTCACACCGCTGTCAGAAAATAGCTGAGACTGCATAATTTATAAGAAAAGAGGTTTCATTGGCTCATGGTTCTGCAGGCTGACAGGAAGCATGGTGGCATCTGTTTCTGGGGAGGGCACAGAGAACTCCCAATCATGGCAGAAGGCCAAATGATAGGCATCTTACATAGGAGGGGCAGGTGCAAGAGAGCAAGTGGGGAGCTGGAATGAAGTGGCATGATCTTGGCTCACTGCAACCTCCGCCTCCCAGTTTGAAGCGATTCTCCTGACTACCTTCTGAATAGCTGGGATTACAGTCTGCACCATCATGCTAAATTTTTGTTTTAGTAGAGATAGGATTTTATCATTTTGGCCAGGCTGGTTTTGAACTGCTGACCTCAGGTGATCCACTCACCTTGGCCTTCCAAATTGCTGGGATTACAGGTGAGCTATGGCACACTTTGCCTGGCTGCATACTTTTAAACAACGAGATCTCATGAGAAATCACTCGCTGTCACAGAGACAGTACCATGGGGGATGGTGGCAAACCATTCATGAGAAACCCTCCCCCATGATCCCATCTCCTCCCACCAGACCCTACTGCCAACATTGGGGATTACAACTGAACACGAGATTTTTGGGCAGGGACACAGACCAACAGTGTATCAGGGATGGCCTTCCCACACTTTGCAGCTGAGGGTTTCAGCTTTTCTTCTGGTTCTCTTCATATCCCCCTTAATGCCTGGCCTGGTGTGGTCCACTGGCAGGATCTCAAAGGTCACCTACTGACGAGGAATGAAACGGGAGGGGGTTCCTGTTACAGAACCAGTATGAGGAAAAAAGAGGTCGGAGGGAAAAAGATTTTTGCCAAAACAAAGGAGAACTCAGCCAGAATCATGAAAATGAAATAAGAAACTTCTCAGAAGCCAGGGCTAGATCCAAGAGGCAAGGGGGAATTGGCAACACTGTGCTGGGTGGTGATGTGGCTTGAGTGTTTGTCCTCCCCAAAAGGTTGAAACCGACTCCCCAGTGTGGCTGTATGAAAGGTGGGGTCTTTTAGAGATGATTGGGGAGGGCATGGTGGCTCATGCCTGTAACCCCAGCGCTTTGGGAGGCTGAGGCAGGCAGATCACTTAAGTCAGGAGTTTGAGACCAGTCTAGCCAACATGATAAAACCCTATCATGTTGGTATCATAGTGACACCTATCATGGGGAAACCCCAGCCCTTCTAAAAATACAAAACTTAGCAGGGTGTGGTGGCGGCACTGGTAATCCCAGGTACTCAGGACACTTGAATATGGGAGATAGAGATTACAGGGAGCCAAGATCGCATCATACCACTCCAGCCTGGGTGACAGAGGAAGACTCTGTCTTCAGAGAAAGGGGGGTGGTCATTGAATCATGAGGGCACAGCCCACATGAATGAATTAATCCACTCATGGATTAATGGGTTTTCCTGGGAGTGGGACAGGTGGCTTCACAGGAAGAGGAAGAGAGACTTGAGCTGGCACATAAGCATGCTTGCTCCCTTGCCATGTGATGCCCTGCACTGACTTGCCTTGAGACTCAGAGTCCTCACCAGCAAGCAGGCCCTCACTAGGTGAAGCCCCTCTACCTTGACTTCCCAGCCTCCAGAACTGTAAGAAATACATTACCTACTCTCAGATATTGTGTTGTGTCAACAGAAAATGGACTAACATGTATGGGAGCAGCAAATACCAAGAGACTCTCCTTACCAATGTCTTCAGGGGCTTTGAGTCCACATTGAAACAGCATGCTGCTGTTTCTCCTACTCTCCATGGCACAGTCAAGGTAAATCAAGGAGTCCTTCATCCAGATCACATATAGGGCCTGCAGCCTCCCCATCTGCAGGAGGTAGCAGCGGAGAGGTGAGATGGAAACACCACCATAAGCCAGGTCAGGCCAACTGCCAGAAGTTGGAGCCAAGAGACAGAATCTCCAGAAATGGTAACCACTAATGCTCTTTGTCCCACTCATGAGTTAAATCATCAGCATCTTACACTTTCAAGTGCTCTTACCAAGTGCACATCAGTCCTCTGGTCCTTAATTAGGTTCCAGATTTTGAGGTAGAGTTGGGCAGCACCATGCTGGACAAATACTGGCAAAAGAGAAAAGGAACAGCCAATTAGTGAGGTCCTCAGGGTCACTTCTCATGCCCTGGTACCTAGATGCACACAAACACTCACCACTTTGTCTCTTCCTGGCCTCCCGCCCCACTGAAAGGCTAAGTTGGCAGATCAATAAACAAACAGTAAGTTTGGTATTGATTTTAGAGAACACCTTTTTTTTTTTTGAGAGTCTCACTCTGTCCAGGCTGGAGTACAGTGGCACAATCTCAGCTTGCTGCAAACTTCTCCCCCGGGTTCAAGTGATTCTCCTTTCTCAGCCACCTGAGTAGCTGAGATTACAGGTGCCTGTCACCATGCCTGGCAAATTTTGTGTTTTTAGTAGAGACGGGGTTTCAACATCTTGGCCAGGCTGGTCTTGAACTCCTGACCTCTTGATCCACCCCTGTCAGCCTCCCAAAGTGCTGGGATTACAGGCATGAGCCACCATGCCTGGCCAAGAACACTTCTTAAAACTTAAGCTCCAGTGCCAGGTGTAGTGGCTCATACCTATAATCCCAGCACTTTGGTAGGCCAAGGTGGGAGAATCGCTTGAACCCAGGAGTTTGAGACCAGCCTGGGCAACATAAGACTCCGTCTCTATAACAAATTTAAAAACACCTGTAGTCGGAGCTACTTGGGAGGCTGAGGCAGAGGCAGGAGGATCACTTGAGCCCAGGCTGTTGAGGCTACAGTGAGCTGTGCTTACACCACTGCACTCGGCCTGGGGAATGAGATGTTCACAGGGGACTTTGAACAGCACTGATGTATTCCTGAGGATCTAGAAGGCCACGCACATGCCCAAGATCTAAGAGGGCTGAATTCTTCCCCTCTGGCTGATCACAAGGCCATGTACAAGAAAGCAATGACAGTGAACACAGAATTATAAACTGTGTGCACTTTGAAATTGTGCCCTAACAAACACACAGAGCCCCTTCACAAATATTGGAAGACTCACCGATTCAGGCATTTAAGGAAATCTCTGACCGCTTATTATCTGAACAGTAAGATAAAAGGGAGAGGTCAGTGGCCAGGCAATACATGGAATATAGACATCACAGAATTAGCTCAGGAAGTTGTCACTGAACAATGATCAAACAAAACAGCAACAACAACAAACCCTGGTGTGGGGGTCTCTGGTGTCCAGTGTTGCCACCTTACGTTATCTATAATGTTCATTTTCCAACAGAGAGACAAGACATACAATGGAAACAGAAAAGTGTGGCCACACACAGGAAAACAGCAGTCAGTAGAACTTTTCACCTAGAAGCCCTAGGTGCTGGCCTTACTAAACAAAGACTTTAGCTGTTATAATATGTTCAAAGAACTAAGAAAAACCATGTCAAAAGAAGTAAAAGTAAGAAAATGCTGTCTCGCCAAACGAAGAGTATCAATAAAGAAAAAAACCATAGAAAAAGAACCAAGCAGAAATTCTTGAGTTGAGGAGTACCATAATGGAAATGAAAAATTTACCAGAGGAAGTCAACAGCAGATTAGAGCTGGTAAAAGAAAGAATCCATAGACTTGGAAATTGGTTGAGTGTGGTTATCCAGACTGAAGATGGAAGGAAAACTGAACGGCAGCCAAAAAGCTGGTTAGCTGCTCACCACAAGTAGAATTCAACTAACTCTGATACAAAAACAAGTGTAATACAAAAGAAGGTTTTATACAAAAACATGAATTTATTCTGAAGCCAGCTTGGGGACAGAGTATGATGTATCCTGCCTTTTTCATGTGCCATTTCTCCTTTGGAGGAGAAAGGGGCATTTTCATAAGGTGTGTTGTGGGGGTAGGGGGAGTGAGCAATGGTAGTTGTCTCCCAGGCAGTTACCTTGTACCTGGAAGCTGAGTTGCCACCTTTCTGGGCAGAAGTAAGCTGTCAAAGTGGCCAAGTGAGTGTGCTTTCTCCATGTGTTCCTAGTGGGTGAAAGGCTAACCCCTGAAGGGGTTTCAAAACCACCCCATGGCAGGGAGAGCTCCCTGGTGGGTATGCTTTGGGCTGCAAATCTACTGCCAAGTCTCAGGAAAGATGAGCTGAAAGAACGTGCCCTGTTCTCAATCAAACCTCAATAGGGACTGTCTGGTGAGGGAGAGGTAAAGGGTGATTTTTGCATTTCTAAAGGGCTAACAGAAAAGGGGGAAACATGGGGGTTGGGGGTTGGGAGGGAAGGGGAGAAGTGAAAAGGAAATAACATAAGAAAAATAAACTATCTCTAAGAAAATGGGAGTACTCAGTTATACCCAGATGGGTTCCCTAGTGAATGATGGGTTCTACCAAACATTTATGGGAAAATTATACCAATTCCCTACAATCTCTTCCAGAAGACAAAAGCAGAGAGAACACTTACTAATTCTCTGAGGCCAGCATTATCCTAATACCAAGACCAGACAGACATTTTAAGGAAAAAACCTAGAAACCAGTATCTCTCGTGAACATAAATGCAAAATTCCTCAACAAAATATTAGTGAATCAAATTCAATAAAAAGAATCACAGAGTGACATAAGTGAGATGATAGAAAAGGGGGATCCTCTCCTCTCCCGTGGACACTTGGAAAAACTCCCATCTACACACAGATCAACTTCTGAAAGAAAGAAACCCAGAAACTAGCTGAGAGAGTCCTGCACATGGGACAATGGAGAAAACATCCACATCAAAATGGGTTGAAAAAGCTCAGACACACTCACACCGCAAGCCCCACCTTAGACCCAGTACCTTGCTTTGAGGAAGGAATCCCTACTCCTGACTTTCTCCTGAAGAATGAAGGGTTTAGACCACACACAGACAGCCCCAGCTTTTGCAGTTCAAGGGCTTGGCTGCTAGGTCACCTAGCCCTGGGAGTGGACATGGGTCAGCAGCCATGAATCCTCTGCGATAACAGAAGGCAAAGAGGCAGTTTTAAATGGGCATGTGAGCATTTCCAGCAGCTGTGCCCCTGTGCTCAGCACAGAGCAAACATGCAGAAATATCAGGCTCCCAATTTCTCCCTGGAAGGGTATGTGTGCAGGCTCTCCTAGCTGTTGCCCCCGAGGTGAGGGATGGGCTTCTATTAATAACTAGTCAGCACCTGGAGCCAACCAGGCAGGTAAACAATAGATTTCCAGGAGTCTGGTCAGGCATGTGGGCAAGTCCCATGCCTTCTCCCACCCCCTACCCCAGGATAAAATCAGGTCTCTAACATCACACATTGAGTACACAACATTTAGCTCTCTCGAATGAAGGACTAGCTCCTCAATCACTGAGCTTTGGGAGCTGATGAGGCTCTGTATTTGTCAGTCCCACAAGCCCACAGGTATCAAAGAACAGGTGTGAGATGCGCATGTAAGCACTTCCAGTGCTAACCCCCAGGCCCACTGAGAGCAGTGTGAATAGGCAGAAATGCCCGGCTCTCACTTTCTTCTTAGAAGGTGTCTGTCTGCACATGTGCAGCTGCTGCCCTGGGGCTGCCATGCATCTGGGAGCTGACAGAGCAGGAAACCAGTACTCCTCTGAGACCCTGAACAGGTAGGTGAGCACTTCCACAGCTGCTCCACAGATAGCGCCAAGCTTCCAACTAACCTGTCCATCTCTAAGCAGACAGGAGCCAGCATTCACTAGGCCCCTGGGGTGACAAAGAGGCAAGCAATGCATCAAGGGTGTGTGCAGTTTAAACAGGGAGTGCAGGCACTTGCCACAGATCCTCTGTCCAGCTTATTGCAGAGCCAGTGAAGGATAAACTCATGCTCCCAGCTTTTCCCTAAGGATAGAATAAACTGGAAATGCCCCAACATCTCCAGCTGCACCTCAAGGGGCTGGCTTCTATCTCCCCTGTCTGGGTAACTGACAGGACTTGACACATTCTAATCTCCTGAGGGCTGCTAAGGGCATAGATGGCAGTTTGGGCAAGCACAGGTCAAGAGGTGCTCCAAGTCTCTGGCAGGGCTACTTGGCAAGTTCATCTCCTCTACAAGGCCAGTGGGACAAGACTGTGAAAGGTATTTTTCTTATCTAATGTACAGAAAATAACAGAATCTACAATGAAGAAACAGAGAAATATGTTCCAAGCAAAAGAACAAGATAAATCTCCAGAAAATGCCCCAGTGAAATGAAGATAAGTGACTTACCTAATGACTACTCAAAATAATGATCATGAATATGTTTACCATGTCTAGGAGAGCAAACTATGAATAAAGTAAGAATTTCAGCAAAGAGATAGAACAAAGTTCAAAGTATCAAACAAATAATAGAGCTGAAGAATACGATAACTGAAATAAGAGTTCACAAAAGAAGCTCAACAGACTAAATCAAGCAGAAGAAAGGATTAGCAAACTAGAAGATAGGTCGCTGGAAATCATTCGAGAAGCAAAAATAAAAATGAATGAAAAGGAGTGCAGATGCTGAACCCAGTGGTTCAGGCCTGTAATCCCAGCACTTTGGGAGGCTGAGGCATGTGGATCACAAGGTCAGGAATTTGAGACTCACCTGATCAACATGGTGAAACCCTGGCTCTACTAAAAATACAAAAATTAGCCACCTATAATCCCAGCTACTCAGGAGGCAGAGGCAGGAGAATTGTCTGAATCTGGGAGGCAGAGGTTGCAGTGAGCCAAGATCATGCCACTGCACTCCAGCCTGGGTGACAGAGTGAGACTTTGTTTCAAAAAAGAAAAAGAGTGAAGATATCTAAACAGAGTTGTGGGACAGAAAGCAGACCAAAATAGGCATTATCAGAGTGCCAGAAGGAGGAGAGTGAGAAAAGACAGAAACTTTATCCAAAGAAATAACAGTCATGCGTGGCAGATTGACATTTCAGTCAATGGCACACCAAATAAGCACAATGGCCATAGCATATAGCCTAGGTGTTTAGCAGGCTTCCCCATCTAGGTTTGTGAAGTCTGCTCCATGATGTTCACGCAATGACAAAATCACTTACTGATGCATTTTTCAGAACATATCTCTGATGTTAAGCAACACATAGCTGTAATGACAGAAAACTTCCCAAACCAGGGACAAAACATCCAGGAAGCCCAAAGGACACCATAAGACAACCCACACCAAGCCACATCATAATTGATTTAAAAAGTTAAAGACAAAGGATTCTGAAAGCAGCATGAGAAAAGCAGTGTGTTATACACAACAGAAAACCTGTAAGTATGGGATTTCTTTTGGGAGTGATGAAAATACTATGAACTTAGATTGTGATGAGGGCACATCTCTGTGAATACACTACAAACCTCTGAATTGTATGTTTTTAAATGGATGAATTTTACAGTATGTGATGCACATCTCAATATTGCTGTCTTAAAAAAACCTAACCTATTTATGAATTATTTTGTAGAACATGTTTTGTTTTTTATTCCTTTATTCTGTTTTCCTGCAGTTCCTTAACTGTGGCTGAATAAGCTTGGAGGATAAGCCTTTGCTTACGCTACTGAGAAGCAGAAAAAGGGCGGTATGGAAGTAAAATGTCCATAAATAATATCAATTCTGCACCTCCAAAAATGTTACACAAATGTCTCTATAATCTGAGAGTTCCAGGCTACCTAACTTGTTTCTTGTTGCTTCCCTGGCTGTTAGTTCCTCTCTTCACTCTGCCTTTAAGCTTCCCACCCCCTTGAAATCAGCAGGCAGGAGCCCAGCAGGACGGCATCTTACCAGCATGCTGTACTTCTGCAGGAAGTAGGCCAGCTCCAGGGGCTGCACTGCATTCTGCCAGTGGTCCTCCATCTTCACCTGCAGAAGAAGCAGCTGGAAAGGGACACTTCTCCTCTGCTTGTCAGCTCCCTTGGGAACCATGGTCCTGCCACAAAAGAATGGATGGAAACTTCCTTACGTGTAGTTTTTGAAGTTAAGTGCACACTGTAATCACTTGGAAAAAAATTTAAATCTCCATATCCAGGCCACGCCCATACAAATTACACCAGAATTCTGGAGGGTGGGGCCCAGTTATCAGAATGTTTTATTTCCCCAGATTATTTCAATGTGTGGCCAAGGTTGACCACATGAGTAAATCTGCTGTACAGGAGACCCTCTAGAGAGGGACATCAGCATGACTGTTGCCTCAGACCCTCTGCACTCTGCCCAGCAGTCATGTGAGAGCAGAGGGCAGGTGCATGAGGAGGTCCTGGCTCCACATCTCAGGCAAGCAGCAAACGTCCAGCCTAAAGCTCTCCAAACTGCAGAGGCACAAGCTGGGTTAAGCCCCAGGAAGAAAGGGCAACACGAAGGGCTTTCCTTGTGGTTTGGCAATGATTCATTTAATTACAGGCACTACCTGGATGAGAAAAAGGAGAGAGCACAGGGCAGGAAAGGAGTGATAAAGACAGAAAGAGAGAAAGAAAGAGAAAGAGAGAGAGAGAGAGAGAGAGAGAGAGAGAGCGCATTGTGTGAGTGTTGGGGGAAGGGAAGTGTGTACTTTCCACTGACTCCTTCCCAACATCAGTCTAGTTCCAACTGTCTCTTTAACCAAGTCAGTGGCCATCAATCCTGGCTGCACCCAAGGAGTGCTTTTAAAAAGTATCAATACCTGGGCCCCACCCTATACCAACCTAAGAAGTTTCAGAAATAATGTGTAATCCAGAATATGCAGAAACAGGACTTCTCTCTGCCAACTTTTGAGAGAACATCTCAAAAAGTTCAAGTCACTGTGAATAACTGAATATATTAAAAATGAAATAATACACATGCTTATCAGCCTGAAGAAGAGGCTTACCTCTTCAATATCCTGGTGAAGTCCACGTTCATTACAAACCTGAATTAAAGAGTTAAGGCAGCAGGTCTGTCCAACGTTGTGTAAACCAACCAGGCCTATAAGGGGAAGAGAAAAAAATACTGAGGGCAAGGCCTAGGTAAAGAATTTGAAACTGCTGGGTGTGGTGGCTCATGCCTGTAACCCCAGCACTCTGGGAGGCTGAGGCAGGTGGGTCACCTGAGGTCAGGAGTTGGAGACCAGCCTGGTCCACATGGCAAAAGCCCTGTCTCTACAGCTGGGCATCATGGGAGGTGCCTATAATACCAGCTACTTGGGAGGCTGAGGCAGAAGAATTGCTTGAATCTGGCAGGCGGAGGTTCCAGTGAGCCACGATTGCACTGCTGTACTCCAGCCTGGACAAGAACGGAACTCTGTCTTAAAAAACAAGAAGTTAACAAAAATAAAATGATTTCTTAAATCTACCAAAGACATCAAACCCTATAAAGTTCTCTGAGTGGTACAAAGTGTTCACTCAAGAGATTGCAAACAAACTGGAGAGAAGATATCAAGCATGAAACTTTAAAAAGTTTGATAACATGGGCCAGGCACAGTGGCTCACACCTGTAATGCCAACACTGGGAGGCCGAGGCAGGTGGATCACCTGAGGTCAGGGGTTAGAGAACAGGCTGGCCAACATGGTGAAACTCCGTCTCTACAAAAATTGGCTGAGTGTAGTAATGTGTGCCTGTAATCCCATCTACTTGGGAGGCTGATTGAACCTGGCAGGTGGAGGTTACAGTGAGCCAAGATCATGCCACTGCACTCCAGCCTGGGCCACACAGCAAAACTCCATCAAAAGGAAAGGAAGAGAAGGAAGGAAGGAAGGAATGAAGAAAGGAGGGAGGGAGGGAAGGAAGGAAAAAAAGAAGGAAGGAAGGAAAAAAGGAAGGAAGGAGGGAGGGAAGGAAAAAATAAAGGAGGGAAAAAAAGAAAGAGGGAGAGAAAAAAGTTCAATAAAAAGAAGTTTTTAAAAAGTTCGACAAAAAGAAGTTTTAATAGTCCATTAGGAAAAATGAGATGTCGCCAAAAATGTAAATTATTCACTGCCAAATGAGTAGTACAAGCAATTGTTGGGGAAGAAAAAGAAACATTAGAGAAAACATAACTGAGAATTATGGGTTCCTCTCATTCAAAGTATTCTACATGGAGCTGAGTCCAAATGTGCATCTGTGGGTCTCAGTGGACGAGAGGAACTCCCCAGCGGGAGAGGTCTCTGCCCAGTACCCACCACAGGGAGGCAGGAGATTAGAAGGCAGGTTTGGGGAAGATTCATCTAACACAATCTCACCCTGAGAGGCTGAAAGTCAGAAGGAACTTACAAAAATAGGAGAAAAACAAAAGGCATCTCTCTGAAGCCTAGCACCCAGCCTCCTCTCTTCCAACCCAACCTTAGGCTCCGCAGACCCCACAAGGTGGGCAATTTAAGAGGGAGGAAGTAGCAGTAAAGTCAGAATTTTTGAGGAAAGGGCTTTGCTTATGAGATATGGCAACGAAAAAGAAAAAATTTGGGTTTGCAGGTGAGCACAGATTTCTGCTCCCAGATCATCAGGAGCATGTTGTCTCCAGACAGACTGGTACAAAGGTACCTCAGCAGTAAATATGGGAGCTAAGGCTAACTGTCACTAGACACCCAGCACTGGCTTAAAGCAGTTTCCACAGATCACCCCATTTAATCCTCCCACCCAACAACCCCCTGTTTCGTACTGTTATTATCCCCATTTTGTATTTGTTTTTTAGAAATAAGATTTTCCTAAAGCCCAGGCTGCATCCTGATATGAAAGATGCAGAAATTCAGGCACAAGAAAGCAGGTGCCATCAGCCACAAAGCTCTGCTGCTTCAGAGCTCAGGGGGTGAGGCAAGCATTGACATGCAGTCAGGAAGAGAAAAATGGGACGGGCTAATGACATGAGGGTAGTCCCAGGCCCCAGGATGCTCTCTGGGCTGCTTCTCTTCCTCTTCATGTTGCTGTCTGCTTCCTTCTTTCTGACAAGATCTGCTGGCGACTGTGGAGACTCAGCCAGGACTGACTGACAAGTTCGTCTCAGGAGCCCAATAGCCTTGACCATTTGTGATCAATCCAAAACCCCAAAGCCTGACTGCCAGGCCCATGTTGGGAATAGCACGACCTCACTTCCAGGAAGAGCTCATGTGAGTGAGCCAGGCACGATGGGATCTCTGTGAAAACGGGTAGGTAAGGATTCGAGAAGGGGGGATGTGTATTCATGTAATCTGTTCTGATGCCAAAGAGCAGGAGATACCTGGGGAGATGCCTCATAGAGACCTAGGTTGGGACCCTACCCTGGGTCCCACACATATCCATTCTTCCTCAAAATGGACTGCCAAATCCTAACCCGTAACACCCTCTTGGGGAAGGACAGGGAAGCTCGCATAAGACTTTGCTTTGCAACCCAGGATCAGGCCCACTTCAGAAAAAGCCAGCATTGAGCAGAGACCCTCAGCCCCTCATGCCAGGCTGGTACCCCCAGAGGAAGCCTCTCAACCCACCCCACACTGGAAGGGAACCTAGGGCCCTGGTAGGACAGACTTGTGTTCTGGCTGCATCACCGCCAGCCGGCTGCAGCAATCACAGGCCTCAGATAAACCTCAGCTGCAGGCAGGCTGTAGCACCCTCAGGCCCTAGGCGCATCCTGGTGCTGGGCTGGTCTCACGGCAGTGGGTGTGATCCAATATTGTGTCAGCCTTAGTGGCCACAGGGTTATGCTTGCACCCCTCCCCCAACCCCAGCACAGCAGCATGAAGAGAGACACTGTTTGCTTGAGGGAAAAAGAGAGGTAAGTGGAGGACTTTGCCTGGGAACCCAGTGCTAGGTTCACAACAGTAAAGCCCAGTACTGGGCAGAGCTGCATCTCCCAGATACTAGACCAGTACCCACAGGCAGATCTCATCACCTAGTGCCAGATGAGAACACACAGCCCCAGAGACAAAGACTTGGGATCTGGCCCACATCACCACCTGCCAACTACAGTGACCTTGGGCCCTGAATAAATCTCAGCAGCAGTAGGCAAGCCATCACAGCCATGAGTCTTGGGCATGCCCAGTGCTGTGCTTCAGGTGTGACCCAGGGCTGTGTCAGTCTCAGCAGCCAAAGAATTCCAACCGCAGTGATCCTGGGCTTAGGGCATGCCCTAGCACTACAACAGCTGATGCAGTGGGCTTAGGGTCCTGACCAATCAGCCTCTCCTTAATCTGGCATAGGATTACTGATGAAAGAAGAGCCCAAACAAAGCCAGACGATGAAGACTGGCTTTGGTACCTATGTCAATGCACAGACATTGGCACACAGCCATAAGGATCAAGATCAAAAAGAGAAACAGGACATCACTAAATGAAAAATTTAAGGTGCTAGTGACTAACCCTAGAGATACAGAGATGAGGCCTCGCATTTTGGCTCACTTCTGTAATCCCAGCACTTTAGGAGGCTAAGGCAGGTGGATCACGAGGTCAAGAGATCAAGACCATCCTGGTCAACATGGTGAAACCCCGTCTCTACTAAAAATACAAAAAATTAGCTGGGCCTGGTGGCACATGCCTGTATCCCAGCTACTCAGGAGGCTGAGGCAGGAGAATTGCCTGAACCCAGGAGGCGGAAGTTGCGGTGAGCCGATATCACACCATTGCACTCCAGCCTGGGTAACAAGAGTGAAACTTCCGTCTCAAAGAAAAAATTAAAATTAAAATAAAATAAAAATAAAAAACTTGAGATGAGGCCACTTGAGGCCAGGAGTTTGAGGCTGCAGTGAAGTATAATTGTGCCACTGACTTCAGCCTGGGCAACAGGACTAGACTTTGTATCTAAATAAATAAATAAGGTGGAATAAAATAACATAATAACAATGAGTATCATCAAATCACTATTTCTTATAAAAGGTGGAAGCCTTTTATATATACTGTCTTTTTTATCCTTACACAGACGTGTGAATTAATTACTGATATATACCCATTTTACAGATGAGAAACCTGAGATACAAAGAAATGAGTGCCTTTCCCAAGATCAAACAACTGGCAAGTGATGGGCCAGATATAGACGAAGTTAAGTCTAACTACCATGCTGCTCAAGTGAGAAATCAACTCAGGACCAATTATTGGTGGGAATGTAAACTGGTGAAGCCATTATGCAAAACAGTATGGAGACTCTTTAAAAACCTAAATATCATCTGATCCAGTAATCCCACTTCGGAATATATATGCAAAGGAAAGGGAATCAGTATGTTGAAGAGATCTTCACCCTCATGCCTATTGTGGCCCTACTCATAATACCTGAGATAGAGAATCAACATAAGTGTCTGTCAAAAGATGAATGGATAAAAAAATGTGGACTATATATATACAATGGAATGTGATTTAGCCATTAAAAGAGAATGAAATCCTGTCATTCACATCAACATGGGTGAGCCTGGAATACATTATGTTAGTGAAATAACCTGGGCGCAGAAAGATAAATGCCACATGTTCACACATGTGAAAACTAAAAAAAAACTTATCTCCTAGAAATAGAGAATAGAAAGCCAGCCACAGTGGCTCACACCTATAATCCCAGCACTTTGGTCAGCTGAGGCAGGAGGATAGCTTGAAGCTATGAGTTCAAGACCAGTCTAGGTAACATAGCAAGATCCTGTTTCTAAAAATAAAAATAAAATTAGTGGCATGTACCTGTAGTCCCTGGGACTTGGGACACTGAGGCAGGAGGATCAGTTGATCCCAGGAGTTTGAGGCCACAGTGAATTATGATCATGCCACAGCACTCCAGCCTAGGCAACAGAGCAAGACCGTGTCACGATTTGTTTTTTGAAACCGAGTTTCACTCTTTTTGCCCAGGCTGGAGTGCAAGGGTGTGATCTTAGCTCGCTGCAACCTCTGCCTCCTGGGTTCAAGCGATTGTCTTCCCTCAGCCACCCATGTATTTGGGATTACAGGCATGCACCATGACACCCAGCTAATTTTTTTTTTAGTAGAGGCAGGGTTTCACCAAGTTGGCCAGGCTGGTCTTGAACTCCTGACCTCAGGTGATCCACCCCCATCAACCTCCCAATGTGCTGGTATTATAGGCATGAGCCACCACTCCTGGCCCAACTCGGTCTCTTAAAAAAAATTAATCATGACCAGCCTGGCCAACATAATGAAATCCCATATGGCACCTATAGTCTCAGCTACTCAGGAGACTGAGGCAGCAGAATGACTTGAACCCAGGAGGAG